ACGGCCAACGGGGGGGGAACCGGCCCGGTCGACCGGTCCGGTTCCGGTTGGGGGAGGGGCCCCCGGTCTACCGGGTTTTCAGCACTGATTCGAATTGAGAGGTGAGAGGGTAAGAAAAATCACACAATCAAAACAATACAGCATAGGAGAAACAGACATTACTTTGATGCTCGCCAAAATGGCTATGAGCTGGGCCCATAAGGACCTGCTTGGACTATAAAGACCCAAAAAAAAAAAGAACAATCACGGAAGCATCATTGACAATCCTGTACACGTCCGCAAATGTACTTTGCTTTCTTCCCTGTGCACATAATCCCTTATGCTATATGCTTGTACACATGGGAGCGTTTCACACTTTCCGGTTTCAGCCCCAGTCCCACAGTTCCTCCGCGCCCCCGTTCCGTTTACCCTAACCCAAATGGTAGGCCCTTAGCTTGAATCGCCACTCTAGGGACTGGTCTCCTGCCTACACATGCACGCGTTTTGTGCCCAAGCAGGATATAATCCCGATATATACATGTTTTGTCATTCAGTATACACTACTATCCAGCCATTCCACCAAACTCTCTGCGCTATTTTTTTGTGCACCCAAGTAACGGTACCCTATTTGCGTCCGGTTGACCTTGGTTGACCCTGGTGTTTAAAACACCACTTTCACGCCCGGTTGAGCCCAGCTGAGCCCACTTGAACCCAGTTGAGCTCGGCTGCAACCCCCTGCAGAAACCATTTGAGGCTAGTTCACCCTTGTTTACACCCACTTAGCCCCAGTTGAGCCCAATGGAGTGCAGTTGAGCTCCAATTGAGCCACTTGAGCCCAGCTGAGTGCAGTTGAATCACATTCAGCTCGGCTGCAACCCAGCAGAAACCATTTGAGGCTAGTTCACCCTCGTTACACCCACCTAACCCCACTTAAGCCCAGTTGACCTCCAACTGAGCCAGTTGAGCCCAGCTGAAGGCAGTCAAGCAGAGTGGAGCCCAGTGACGACCAGGTCAGCCATTCTGCACCCATTTGAGCCCCAGATGACCCCAGTAATGGCCAGGTGACCCCTTTTGCACCCATTTCAACCTAGACGAGCCGAGTTTCACCTTGTCCAGTCCACAGAGTGTCAGCAAACAGTGAAGAGTTCCATCATTAGTCAAGCACAGTCTGATTCTTTTTTCTTAGAGAAAATACCACCAATCTGATATTGAGCATTCTTGGCAAGGAAGGTTAATATAGTTAATGCCATAATAATTTTTTTTTATATGTACCTTGAATGTTACTATCCACATACCACCTTGACTCACCTTGTATATGCACACAGCCAGCTCTGAGAGGCACTCGTCAGATATATGATGAGGTGTTTCTGAACTCGAATAGGTAAAGTCTAGCTGCTCATCACCCTGTTCCAAGCAACAAAGCATCTTTGAATCAGTATTTCCAAACATCAAGGGACATCTCACAATAGCTCCTCGCTGCCTTCCCCCCCCCTCCCCCCAACCTACCTCCTCCCTTTTTTTTTACATGAAAAAAAAATGCAGTCTTGTATTCTCCTCAAATGGGGAACCACATTCTTTACTCTGCTATTATCTTCTCTGAGTTCTCTCATTATTGTATCTCTCACTCCCTAGCCTGGGCAAGCAAGGGACCATCCACCCCCAAGACAAGCCCAGAACTTGATTTATCCTAAGACAGGCAACCACAAGGAACCCGATACCAACTCGAAGGTCGAAGGTTTTAGGGCCAGGAGAGGGCCAGGAGATAAGAAGGAACAAACCTACCTACGGAAGGAAGGACAACTTACTTAAATTCACTAGTCAGAGCTAAGTCATCCGAAGGTTATGGGTATACGGCTACCATACGCCTACCTATCTCTGCTCTGTGTGGGGAGCAGTTCCCAAGCTCCTAATACCTGGTGCGGGCTGGAAAGAGCCATTTACTTCAACAACCAGCCAGGAGGCCCAAGCCAACAGTCTCCGCTGGTCTTCGCCGCTTATTACTTTTACTAATTGCTGAATCTCTGATTCTCTACATCCGCTGTGCAAGGAAATGAGCAATGCGAATGACAATCAACTTTGAGCAAAAACTGATAGCAGACTGCAACACGAGATAACACGAAATAAGTACGGGCAAAGCATTGAAGTCACAAGATAATGAAAGCCCTCTTCTCGCCTCCAACGCCATTGTCAACAATGTCGCTCTCCTCTATTGGCGCTCAGCGCCCAGCCCACAATGGGACAGCTCCTATTGACCTGGACTCCTATCTACAACAGGTTTTCGATGAAGAACATCAGCCCGATGATGAATGAAGTCTCCATGTGAAAGGACCAGCTCCTTCACCACCAGGTAAGTGCCTCATACATCGCCTTCCTCCCTGACTTCCACTGCCGCAGCGCCTTCGCGCAAGGACCTCTGCCCTCCTCCTCCGACTACTGCGCTCGTCCAGCTGTGCCCTCACAGCGTCTTCCTTGCGCCTCAACAGCGCCCTTCTTCCTCTTGGCCTGGCTCCTGCCCGGCAAGTGAGCGCTCCAGCAGCGTTGCCACCGTCCAGCCAGCTAGAGCATGTAAGGTGAGGCCGCCTCACTTCCCTTTGTTCTTGCTGGCTGGGCGAGGCAGGCCTGCAGTGGGTCATCTCTGTCCAAGTAGCTGTGCCCAGGGCCCTTCCACAATGTGCTTGGGGCTCAACTGTAAGTGCCCTCGGCCTCAGTATCTTCGCTGGGTCGCAGCATCTTCAGCTGACAGGGCTGCCGGTTGGTTAAAGATGCTGCATGTAGCCCGGTCGGTTAAAGATGCTGCATGCAGCAATTAGGCCAAACTCATTTCTTCTGTCATTTGCAAAAAAACAGGGCGGATACCCTTGTAAGGGTATTCGCGCCGACACCGGACACTGCGCGCATGCACTTTGGTGCTATAAATTCCTAAAGCCCGACATAATCTCTCTCTAATCTAAACTTTGGAGTTGGTGTGGTGAAGAGGATCGGGTAACGAGTGAGCATGCAAGAGGTGAGTACGGGATCGGGCGATCCGATGAGCTGGTGGTGATTGTGTGGGGTTGACATGTGACGGCGATGGACTGCGGGGCACGGGGGGAACCTGCCTTGCGTAATTAGACTAAGCGGGGTTACGATTCCGGTTTGTTGGTGGGTGTGAGGCAACGGATTGCCTGCACCGAGTGAGGGATTGGGCGTTGTTGATCAGAGGGAGGGCGTGTGAGGAGACCGGGCGGTGTTGTGTATTTCTTCCTGTCTTTCCTCCTAATATTTGTAAAAGTGGAACTGTTTTTTTTTTTAATGCAAGGGACACTCGACCCGTTTCCAGCCTTACAATAAAGTTCGTGAGGAAAAAAATAAAAAATCTCAGAGATGTAAAAGCGGAACTTCGACTTTCTTCCTTTCAATTTTTGTCTGAACGAGGCTGATCTTCTTCTCGTTTTCTTTCCATCTCTTAATTTTGTCGAGTTAATGGATGGATGTTGCTCGAGGACTTCTTTTGAGTGATGGCAGGCATGAACACTGTCTGTTTGATTGATCTAAGTAAGATGGGATGACTTGTGTGCATGAGTGACCTGCATGTAGGAAACAGTTGTGATGCGATTTTCCGATCTGTTCGCCGGCCGTCAATCCTGCGTACGGACGGATGCGTTACGAGCCATCCTTCGGGATCTGCTGGCCACGCATGTGCGTGGGAGAGAACGCGCCGTAAATGACTGACTCCGGGTTGATGGCGCGGTGTTGCGTAGGAAGAGTGTTTCTCCGCCATGGTAGGAATACTTTCTCCCTCGGTTTCGAGCCAGCCTTCCCGGATTCCCCCTTCAAACCGGAGAAGAACGTCTATGCGAGTGGGATATTCAGCAGAGCCCCCGACCCACACAGTACCCCGACACCGAAGATTGCAAGTGTTCACTAAATCGGGGTGTGTCCCCATTGAAACGAGTTTCCCCCGCATTACCTCCTCCTGCCATTTAACAATCTAACTGTCATCCCCTGGCGAGCGCTTGCCCCTTATTGGCCACCTACCCTGTGCGCCGAGTACATACAGGACTAGCCTACCAAGAACGAGGGTTCGTCCAACAACATCGTAGTGAAACCGAGCTCTGCGCAAAGAGCCTGCAATTCAGGTCCCCATCCTCAGACTCGGAGCTCTGTGAGTCTCGCAGGCGCCACATGTTGGAGCAGTGGGACACCCATCACATACACCGTGTGCAGGCCTGGCCCCTGTATTGGCGTTCATCAAACCCCGCGCAGGACTCAGTGGACCCTGCTGTGTCTTGAGACCACAGCCTAACTCTTCCGAATCAATTGCGTTTCTGTCCTTGGAACTTCGACACAGGAGATCTCAGTTCCGACCTGAGACTCCACCCCCACTTTCCTAAAATCCTTGGCACACCCCCTTTTGCCGCGCTTCCGGGCCTACTCCCACTCCGATCAGGAAGTCGCGCTGGGCGTGAGGTTTGGCATCACAACACAGCTGCAAGGATTCAGGGCCCTCGGCATGCTGAAAAAGGCCTGCACCCGCCCTAAGTGATTGTGGTCCCTCAGAAATTCGTCATGGACTGAGTTGAGGCCGATGTGAGCACAAAGGGGGCCGTGGGTGCGGCTGCGTCTGAGAGTTACGTTGACCGGGTGGTTGACTAGAGTAGAGAGTGTGTGGGCGAGCGGTTTTGATGCGCGCGTGATCCTTTTTGTTGTTGATGATTGAAGAGCCGGCGTGACCGCCGGCCGGACTTTTATTTTTCCGATTAAGCAGGGATCAACAAAATCATGTCATGTTGACTATTGTGTGAGCCCTGGCCTATGCGTATGTACGGAAGTCGACATCGACAACGAGGCGGTTTTGAAGTGTTTTTGGTCGGTCCGCGCGTCACGCAGTGTCAATTTATTTAGGTGTTAGTCAAAGCTAGACCCAACTTTGGGCCTAGCGTCGTTGATTACAGTATCAGGCTTTCGTCAGGAAGATTCGGGGATCAGGGATGAGCGGCAACGCCGCGAGCATACCAGGGTAGCGCGAGTGGACCAAAGGGTTCAAGGGCCTGGCGGGGTTATCCCCTTTGGCTTCGCCGTCGGCAGCGTCGGAACGGTGCTGACGGTTAAAAGGCGCTAAGTATTTCTATCTTACTGTCGTATCATTATCCTGCTCCGACATTCGTTGATTTGGAAGTGATGATGCGTCTAGGAGCCGTCACGACAGCCAAGGACCTTAGGCACGCGCCTCGATTTGATGGGCATAAGGACTCTGGCGTGTTCGGGACACCGACGAGTCTCCCTTATGTTTGCCCGTGCGTGGGAGTGGTGGGGTCCGTGGCCGTGGTTTCCCTTACTTGGCTGCGGGCGCGCGGCCTGCCAACCACTAACTGTCGTAAGAGGTTGAGTGTCAGCACGCCCGTTGGGGCCCGAAAAAGAGCGGGCTGTTCTTGGGGCGGGCCGCGGACTGCCAGGGCCAGCCACACGAAGGCCTTCCCCCACCAAGTCTTTGTTGCATATGTGCGCCCAGTAAAGGAAGGATAAATTAAACAAGAAGTCAGGACTCAAGAGATTGAGAGAATCCTGAAAGAGTTCGCAGATGTGGCAGAAGCCCCAAGTGGTGGTGCGGTCTTCAGGGTTCCCAGTTGAGTATCGGCTGTTGTCGCCGAGGACCGTACCGGGGCTAGTTCACAAAGGCCCACGCTTTAAGCCAGGGCTTTGAGCGGGCCGCACCCCTAGTCCTACGGCCAGCTGTATGAGTAGGGGCCTGACCGTTGGGAGCCCGAGGCGGTGGCAAATGCCGTCGGAGTGAAGTTAGTAGGAGGCTGCGACTGGTCAGCAGCGCTATGGGCTGGACACACGCGCCGTCGGGCAGGCCATAGGGACGAGGGGTTAGCCGAGCCGCCGAGGAGATCGGCCGCTCATTGGGAAATCGGTCGTGGTGACCCGATCGGACCACGCTGGGCGTTGCCGGGCCACTGCGGTCGGGTGCTGCGCTAAGTAGCGGGAAGTAGGCCGGAGGAGGGGCGCAGCGGTGAGAGGATGGGCAAGAGAGGGGATGAACCGGGACGGGGGGCCGTACCAGGTGCGCAGGCAGATGAGAAGCAGCGCAGCGAGTGGCGGGCGATAGCACAGTGGAGGGACGAGCGGAGCACGCAGAAGAGCGAGCCGGGTGACTGCAGGGATAGGGGCGGAGGGTGAAAGAAGCAGGCAGGCGAAAGAAAGGAGGAACCAGGCCGGGTTCAGCGCCGGGGTACATTCGAGGAAGAAGTAGTGAAGGACGACGGGCGGAGTGAGGCAGCAGCGCAGCGCAGCTAAGGTGGCGGGGCAAACGGGCATAGCGCGGGGTACCGTGCCAGCAGCGAAGCAGACGGGCGTTAATGCAGCAAGGAGGAAAAACAACGAACGAACCCGGACGGTAATTGTACCGGGTGCATTCGAAG